TAATATTTTAAATTAAAAATTTTAACTTTAAGTTTTAAACAGTGATTTGAAAAAAAAAATATTTTTTATTATATAATTCATTGTCAAAATTGGTGTACAAAAGAAAAATCAATTTGATTGGGTAGGATTTTTCCATTGGGCTGGAGTCCAACTAAGTTGAATTAAATGGACCGAATTCGGTGATTAGGTTCATAACCTAACCCAACATAACCCAACCCAACCCAACCCAATAGCTCATTTGTAAATGGATTGGGTTTGCTTATCTTCTACTTCCTGAAGCAAGGAAAAGCATTCATCTACTTGTTTTTAGGGTTTTACATACTCGAGTCGGTCGCAGCGGCAAGCAGAGAACAATGGAAAGGAGACAGTTGACGGCAGAATCGATGCCGTTGTTCCAGGAAGGAATAGGTTTGCTCCTGTCTCGGTGGTCGGTTCTGCAACTGGCCGTCGAAAACGAGTGGGGCGGCCGCGACTCTCGCCGCCGCAAAGCTGAGCTCCTCCTCTCCGATGTCTTCTCCTTGGAAGGGATGCAATACTATCAGCATCAGCCAGAATGATAAGCCAAAATACCCTTGGAAGGGATTTCAAACACAAGTTGATGATTTCAAGACTATTTTTAGCGATCCAATTAGCTCTGAAGCTGTCGGGCTCCACCTCCTGGTATTGCTAGTGCCAGTGATTTTCTTGATGATAATCCTATAAGGGTGGTGGCTGGTATTGTTAATGTTAAGTTCTAAAGCCAGAAGGAGAGCAACGCATAAGGGAAACAAATTCTTCATTCTTGAACAACTAATAGTTACACAAATTTCTTTAATTAGAAAAAAATGTGATGGAATGTTGGTATGTGTTGGAGCTAAGGTGTCAAAGCTGCACAAGAGGCAGCAAATGGAAAGAAAGCTGCACAGGTGGCAGCAAAATGAAATGAAGGGAGAGCTGCACCAAAGCACGGTAGCAGCAAAGTGCAGCAAGTTATGCTGCAAATGTTGATGAAATGAGGCTGGAATGAAATGCAAATGAAATGAAAATGAAAGGCTGCAGAGTTCCAGCTACATGAGCCACACAAATGGCAGCAAATCTTTTAAAAGTAATCTTGCATTTAATGTTTGGTCGATTTTATTGTGTTAAGTAATTATTAGTTGAGGAAATTACTTTTATGTATTGAGATATTCTTGCTATATAATAGCCGAATAATGATTGAAAAAAATGAATTCTCACCTCACCTTTAGGAAGCTACACCAGTGCTTCTCCCTTTCTACTCCAAGTCCCTTCTTTTCTCGTAAAATCCCAACAGTATGTACAGGCAATGCGTGAGTAATTGCAGTTCCTTTCACTTTCACATGATCACACATGAATTACTCTGATTGGTAATTATAAAGATATTAGCATCTAATTAAGAGAGATAGACATCATATGAAATTTGTTAAAAGTAAAATCTAAAAACACTAAAATCTTGAAAATTTACCAGGGTATAGAATAGGAAGGTAGAGGCAGTCGGTACAAAAGAAAGAACAAACTGAAAGTAGGAGGAAAGACGATGAAGGGCTGCAGAAGTGTGCTCTAGCAAGGAACTTAAGACGCTCAAGTTAGCCACGAAACTTTTTAACAAAATCAATATATCAAATATGAGATAAATTCATTCCTTGGGTCTGTTATGGCCTATGTATAGGTTGAATGGCCTCAAGAGTTGAACAATAAGCCAACTATACCAACTCATATATATCCAATTCACATAAGCTCCATTAAGTCAGATGCTGAGCACTAGGGCTCAGCTTCAAAGAAGCAGTATATAAGAGCCCTACAACCTGGTTCAAAAGGTTGTGTGATACAGAGAAAACATAGTAATGACATTCGGATAAACAAATAAGAACCATAATATGAATTGAGGAGCACTTTGGTGAAAAGACAATATCAAATCCTTTAAAACCAGTTAATATTTGGATGAGAAAAATAGAATCAACTAATTACTAGTGTAAAGGCAGCTGGCAGGCAAGAAAGCACATTAAATCAATCTAAATTCTACTTACTATTTTGGACTTGAAAATAATTGTTGATCTCCAAACATGGGTGTGTGGAAAATCTAAAGGTAAGTTACAGAGACTATTAAGCTAGTCACAAAAGAGTTTAACTAAATTGATAGATCAAATAAATGTGAGAGAAATTCATAAAATTGTATACATACATACCTAGTGTCTGTTGTGGCCTACATATCTATATGTGGGTTCAATTGCCACAAGAGTTGAACAATAATGTGATTAAAGAAATTAAGATGTTGAGGTTGATATAGTTAACAGTCACAAAATATAAAACAAGAAATTTCTCAAATCTGTTTTACTGCTTATTACAACACAAAATAAAACAAATATTACTTAAACAAGCATTAATTAAACAAAGTTTATCCATAGTACAAAACAACAAATTACAACTGAGATTGCATTGGATTGAAGTGAGTGTAAGTCCCATTTTTTTTCTATTTTCCTTAGCTGTATATGTTGTTGAGTTGAAGAAATAGGTTTGAGATGGTAAGAGATGCAGCCTGCACCAACATGTATGGAGAAATTACTTAATTCTAAGGATGCAAATATTAGTTAGCCAAAAAAAAAAAAAGGAAAAAAGAAAAATGTTCAAGAAAAATATAAACATA